ATTTTTCTCAGCTGGTGACATGTAGAACTTCTGTTAATGAAACTCAAAACATAAAGATGCTGTGAGCTTACATGTGCAACAACAGCATTTTATTCCCTCAGCGAAACAGGAACAAAGTAGACATTAAAAGAAACAATCTTTACTGTGACCACAGGAAGGTTATAAGCATTTAGGATATAACTAATGTATTTTAATGACTTCAATTTTATGCAAATCCCTAAATTTTGTATTAGGATATTTAAAAGCCGAAGTATGTAATGAAAGACATGAAACAAAAAAGCTTTAAAATTCAAACAGCTTCTTGACCAAAGAGCAATAACACTGAAATTACCTTTACATGCCAGCATCTTAGTTATTCCACGAGGTAGTGGAAGTTTGTGTTTTTTGTGGTTAATTAAGTAATTTAAATTAGGAAGTCAGAGAATAATAACATGTCAAATTTAAGGCTCGATACAAATACAAAGCTACTCCTGTTCTTGCTGATGTTTGGGCCGATGCTAATATTAACTCAAAGTTAGCTAAACTCTCAAACTGTGAACAATGTGCTGTATAACAAAGGAACTGGACCGAAGGCCACCTTCACCTTTCAAACACGATCACACGGAGCTTTGTCTGCCTTGCAAGCACACCTGCAGGTGTGCTATTGGCTGTATACCGTCAATTTAAAATCAACAGTGAACCTCAAATCTGTGTCTTTGGACTCTGAGAGGAAAGCTGAGCAGGCATAGTGAGATCATTAAGACTAAAAAGGCCAAGTTCTGCAACACATAGTGTTTTGGAGTTACTACATAGACAAAGGATGTTTGATTATGGATTTGAAATATGGGTAGAAGTCCTCTTTGTCTGCTTTTCCACTCATCTTTAGTCCATCTCTTGTACCTGACCATTTTCAAAGGAATGCTTTTTTGTTTGTAAGCCACTTCACACTGACCTATGAATCATTTAAGCATAAAAAATACACCTAACCCGAAGGATGAACCAGTGTTATGTCTACACAGCCTAATAAAACATGTCAGATCCAAACCCAAGT